ATTTTTAAAGTTAGTTTATTTTTAGCATTGTTTACATAGTTGAAAGGGATGCATGCCCATGTGGGCCTCCGATTAGAGTAGGGAGGATCAGGTACAGAGGAAGGTGGGTGGGACAAACATTTCAGCTTTATTTTCCTATGTGTCTGCAGGGGAAGAGTGGGAGGAGGCCACTCTTTATTATCAGTGCCCAGGAATGGGGGACAGTCATTTGATGATACCTTAGAGATCCCAATGTGGGGAAGTCTTTCAGGGGTGTTTCTTGAGTGGTTCTGATAGTTCTCAGAAGCTCAAAACAATTTTTTAAAAGTATTTTCTTAGTTCTCTAAAAGCTACTTTAGTGTATTTCTGGTTTTCTGCTCCTTAATTTGCATAAAATGTCAACTGTTTGCTTCACATTACAGAAGCTATCCTCAAAGGCCAGAAGCTCCTTGGTTGTCCATGTCACTCATACCAATAAATAGCACACAAAGGCTGATTAAAAGCTCCTAAGTAAATCAACTTCATTGGCAGGGACCTCGAGTACCAATATCTCTAGTCCCAAAGAGGAGGAATCTTGAGGTTCTTGCCTGGAGTTACAGGTCTGACTGCCAGTGCCCCGGAGCTGAGCAAGGGAAAGGGACCAACAGGGCAAACTTGCCCTGAATCCCTCTTTTTAGCTGGTATACACACACATCCCCTCCCGCTGTGCCTGTTACACCTGCAATCCACACAACAGGCTGGTGCTTCTGCTAAAGGCCAAGCAGCACCTCTACAACCCTCATGTTTCTAACAAGCAACACTAACAAAAGTGTTCTTAGCTAGCTAGGCTGAGAAGTCATCTGTCTATTCTTGAGCTATTCTGCTATATATTTACTTCAACAGCCAGCTACTAGCCAAGGGTTACTGTTGAGAAATTAAAATACATAGTTTAAGATATGTTTTAGTCTCACCGCCTGCCAAATGAAACATTACATTTTTTCGAAACTCCACACAAAAACTTTCTTTTTTCTTTTTTAAAAGATGTACTTATTCTTATAATTTCAGTGTATAGCATTAAATGTTACTAAAATCAATTTAAAGTAATTTCAATTGTTTACATAAATTTCTTTAGAATGGAGTTCTTAGAAGATTTTAAAATCAGACTTAGTTTGCATCACCCAAGTTGAGAATCTATTTTGAAATGCTGGGCCCAGAAGTGTTTCAGATTTCAGAATATAAACACACATAATGAGGTATTTGGGGATCGGAACCGAGTCTAAAGAGTCTGAAATTGATTAAAGTTTTATATTTTATACATAGTCTGAAAGTAACTTTATATAATTATTTTAATGCACCCAAACTTTTTAAAGGTATACTTTTATCTTTTATTTGAAAAGAGTGAGAGATTAGAGACAGACATTTTATATCCACTGGTTCATGCCCCAAATAGCCACAAAGGCTAGAGCTGGGCTGGTCCAGATCCAGGAGCCAGGGACCTCAGCCCTCATTCACTACCTTCTCAGACCATTCGCACAGAACTGGATGGAAAGTGGAGCAACTGGGACCTGGCACAATGACTCAGTGGCTACATCCTCGTCTTGCGTGCAACAGGATCCCATGTCCCAGCTGCCCCATTTCATCTAGCTCCCTGCTTCAGGTCTGGGTGAACACAAGAGGATGTTCCAAAGCCCTAGGACCCTGCAATCATGTGGGAGACCTAGAAGAGGCTCCTGGCTCTGGGTCAGCTCAGCTCTGGCCACTGCGGCCACTTGGAAAATGAACGAGCTAGAGCTTCTTTCTCTCTGCTTGTATAGATTAGATGGGATCCTGCAAGATCTTAAGCCACTAGGCCACCACACCGGGCCCAAGTCAGTCACATCTTTGTGAAAACTCTTAAGACTCTTGAAAGTGGAAGAAAAAAAATCACCTACAAAGATTAAGTGATTGTTTTACAGAGACTGAAAATATATAAATCCTGAAAGTGAAAGAAAGGGACCTGGCGTGGTGGCGTGGTGGCGTGGTGGCAAATATCCTCGCCTTGAACATGTTGGGATCCCATATGGGCATCGGTTCTAGTCCTTCCCATCCAGCTCCCTGCTTGGCCTGGGAAAGCAGTTAGGGACGGCCCAAAGCCCTGAGACCCTGCACTGGTGTGGGAGACCTGGAGGAATTTCCTGGCTCCTAGCTTTGGATTGGCGCTGCATCGGCTGTTGTGGTCTCTTGGGGAGTGAATCATCAGATGGAAGATCTTCCTCTCTGTCTCTCCTTCTCTTTGTATATCTGACTTAGGGATAAAAATAAATAAATAAATAAATCTTAAAAAAAAAAAAAGAAAGAAAGTGAAAGAAAGGTGATGGGTTTGCTGAAATGGGAGGAATCTATAAAGCAGGAGAGTGCACCACCACTGCCCTGTTCCAACGGAACAGTTAAGAGACACCAGGGAGGGCCCGGTGCGGTGGCGCAGTAGCGGCATAGCATCGACCGTTGGGCTCACTTGGGGAGTGAATCATTGGACGGAAGATCTTCCTCTCTGTCTCTCCTCTCTGTATATCCGCCTTTCCAGTAAACAAAAATAAAATAAATCTTAAAAAAAAAAAAAAAAAAAGTGACACCAGGGAAGCTGTAGGCCACAGTGGTTAAAACATTGAAAGAACTAAACCAGCCACTCACTGGCAAGGTTAATACTTTTTTTCATGCAACAAGTTAACAGGAACCAACTGTTACTTGATTAATCAGGGAAATACAAACAAAGACATATTCCTTTGGAGTCTGGATGAAGTCTTTAAAAGCAAGAAAAGTAAAAATGGTTTAATGTGATAAATTCTAAGAATCAGAATGATGGGAAAGGCATCATCATACAGCAGTATTTTTTTTTAATCACCACTTTGTGTTCCTTTGTACTCCTCAGCATTTTCTTTGCTATATAAAAAAGTATAAGAAAAATTAATCCAGTTGTAATAAAGTACTAAAAAAAGTTCACTTGATGGGGTAGGCATTGTTGTGAAGTTTGTTAGGGTGCCTCCTGGGACATCTTACATTCCCTATTGGAGTGTGGCTGGAGTCTGATTACTATGCTTCTTGATGAAACTCCCTGCTAACATGCCGGTGCAGGTGGCACACAGGGCTGAAGCACCTAAGCCCCTGCCGCCCACCGGGAGATCAGTTCTCGCCTTTGGCATCCAGGTCATTGTAGGGATACAGTCAGGGCTGGACTAGACAGAAGCCAGAGAATCAGCAATTCCATCCAGGTCTCCCAGATGACAGGCTGGGAACCAATGACCTGGCCATAATCTGCTGGGACTCAAATTTTGATATGTGATGCAGGCATCCTAACCCGCTACAGCACAACTCGAGCCCCAGAAAATAATTTTTAAAAATCACAATTGCTTTTAGAAGTTTGAGTTTCATCTTCAAAATGACTGAAGTCTTCAAGAAAACAAGTAGCGTACACAACAAACCAAATTTAAGATAAACCATTCCACACTCTTTAGAACAAAGAACCCCAGATACAGATAAGTACTGGCTGCTAGTGTTAGCACTTTAATAGAAGAAACAATCGAGATGAGATAGGAGGTTTTAATAGCAATTAGTGAAAACTCAATATCCAATTCCAACTAAAACTGCAAGCTGAGCACTTCCGATAGCCCTGTGGGCACTGAATTACTCATTTGTGACCCTTTAATCAAAAGCAACCCTAGATACGGGTCATTTGTGTTTCTACTACGTATTGGTCTGGCCTTCAGCAACTACCTGAAGAATGGCTTGCTTGTCCATTTTATATTGCCACAATATCCAGTGTGCTTCTGCCTCTTGGTTCCTACTGTTATCTGCAACTGGGTTACTATCAATACTACTAAGATCATTATTTATTATTATTTTTCTATGTGTGTGTGCATATAAGACAATCATTTTTTGTAATTTCTAACTTCAAATTATTCTGGTTTTTCTTCTTCAAAACTATCAACATAATACCAAAATTATATCTTTTAAACTTGTCTTATTTCTACAGAAACAATTTTATTTATATCTATTATACTATTATTTAGAAGAGTTTATGGATTTTCACCAAACTTTGAGGCTATTTCTAGAATGATCTCACAGAATTCATGTGTATGTAGGCTCTGTAGGACAAACAAAATTAATGATAGTGAGCCTAGCAGATATACTCCAAAGCAGATAATGAAATCATAACAAGAAATCTCTTCTCCCAATTGTCAGGCAAACATGATGCATGTAGTAAGACATTTTTATATGAGAAATGCAAATGGAGCCAATGCTTCAACTGGGAAAATTAATTTATATGCTATAATGGCCCATCTAAACAATGATTATGAACCATAAAGAACAAAACAAGGGTGACCTGCTAATGATTAAAAGCAACTTTAGCCTCTCAAAAAAAAATTAATCACTTTGATGAGCTTAATTTTAGCTATGTAATGCATCTGTCAAAACTATTCTGCTGCAAACCGGTTTATCATTTGGACTGTCAATTTAGGGAAAACAAAACAAAACTAAAACTAAATGAGGCTCTATCATAACTTCAAATGTATTTCTGTTTTGGCATGATGAATATATGCACCTCACTTCAATCAGCATTTAATCACAAACAGAACTGCATATTTTACTACTAAACCCTAAGATAATATCAAGATCAATGCCTTGTGAACCACCAAAAGCTACGTCAACTTTCTAGTTAAATAACTGAGACATGTGGAAGGCTAACAGTCCACACACTGCTATCATGTACTATAATTTATATGTTAGTATAATTATATTACATTATATGTAACTATTACAAAAATAAGAATACATGAAGTGTAAATACTTCATATACTGTTAAACCTCAAATATTTTAAATGTTTAAGGACAATGTTTTCAAATTTAGAAAATGTTTTCATAACTGTGTCCAGCCTAAGAATTATCAAGTCATTTAGCAGTCTTGACTTTCAAGCAGCTAATAAGACAGAATCTGTTTTCAACGTTAGTAGCTTCACAATTTGCTCTTCCTAAGAAAAAGTGTAAATAATAGCTCATTAATTTACCTTCTTTGAATTTCCATTTCTTCTTGGGATGGGCCATTTTGAACTTGGGCAGGTAGTTGTGAATTTTGTCTAGGCAATGTTGGCCCTACAAAGGGAGGAAAATATTACATATGAGCATTATCTTTATATCTAGCTGGATGGAGGAGATAAAGTCATGAGAAAAACATAAACCATCACATATTTACAAATGTGTCTCCTTTTTGTCTAGCAAAATAAAAGGTAAGCTTTACATAACACACAGCAAATGAAAGACTGCAACATAATGCTGCCATCATCTCCAGAAGCCTTATTTGAAACAAATGGAAAACATCAACAATAAAAGGAAAAATAAACATTTATATATGAAGAGCTTGAGTAAAACAAGTGTTCAATGAGCATCTGAAGAGGCACCTAAGCTTGACATTTTCTAAGACAATGAGACATTCTCTTTGGAATAATTATTCATGAAGTGGAAAGGAAGAACTTAAATGAAAAATCAGAATTCAAAAACTCACCTAAATAGAACACTGGAAATGAAAAAACAGGAGAGAGAGAGCATGAGAACCTTATTACTAGACTGAAGTATGCTAGTGCATTTATCAAACTTGCCCAAGTTAAGCTGCCATTTTTGTCTACTGGCCTGGCATTGACTGGTGGAAACAAGCATTTGCTAAACTTCCATACAGTAATTAAACTACTTATCTTAACAACTTTACTCAGCTGGGGAAATTTGCTTAACTTCCACAATAATTAGCCCATTTACTGAATTTTTATGTAATACAGATGATCTTAAAAATACTGCATTTGGGGAAGAAAAGGAGGGGAAAAAAGGCCCAGCATTCACACCAACTTAGTTCTGTCACAAGAAGCTAATGATCATTCACTCCCACACATCACGTATAGTGCAGACTAATTCCTAGCACCTTACACAGAATTCTAGGCCTCTAGATTGAGTCATCTTAGTGTCACTGGGCACAAAAAAACTCAAATCTGTCACTAAATTAGACCTAGTACACAACGTCTAAGATTAAAAAAACAATAAGCTTGAGATTCAATTCAGCAACAACACAAGAAATAGCAGTTGTCCTCTACTCTGGAGAATACGACTACATACACACAGTAATGAATTTCAGTGCCAGCAAATGCTCCTAGTAGGAAAGTGTGCAGGTACTAGTATAAAAGTAATTTTTTTGTTTTAAAACTGGAGCAAATTTTTGCAATCTATGATCTAACAGCACAAAGTATGTTTATGATAATGGAGTAAATTTCACAATTAGAAGAAAAGGTTCATTAAGATATAATACAGAACTGGTATATACTAAGTGTAGAAACATGGAAATAATTTAATCTGAACTTACCTACTAACTTTTCCCTATATCCTTACCAACATTTTTTACAATAATCATTTAATTTGTCCTCTAAAGACAAACTAGATGATACCTGCACTTATATATTTCATTAAAATTTCTTAAGTCTATTTTGAGAATCAAAAAAAAATACAAAATGCTAATCCCAACAACAAAAACATGTTTTAAAATCAAAATTAAATACACACATAAATGAGTAAATGAAAATATATTACTATTATTTGATAAACAGCCTAGAATTCCTTTTTTGGCAAATTAATGTTATTAAAACCAAGAGACAGTTCCTATTAAGATCACACGCTGATGTTCAATATTTTTTAGAAAAAAGATCTCTTGTGGCAGAAGAACAGGGACACATGAAGTGGAAAGGTGAATGGGAGCAAGGATAAAGAATTTGGGAAATATACTCTGTATATCTAAATTTGTACTTATCCAAAACTATTAAAAGCAAGCATGGGTAACTCACAAGACCACTATGGTTTAACTAATTTTTAAAAAATACATGAGTATGTAAGGGCAAACCTCAAGCTATTTAAAAATGAAATATCTGTATGTCAGTGTTAATACGATTTGCCATCCAGCTCAAGGAAGGACGTTGACCAGTCACACCAAGGACAACTATAATACCTCAACAGCAGTGTTACTATGGTCAATTCGCCCACTAAATCTAAGTTTTAACTCAAGAATGTGTGATCTCAAGAAAAGGATGTAGTTTTGTCACCATTTCAATGTAGTCTTGATTTTCTTAGCTTTTAAAAAACACGAGTTTCAAGTAATTCACAAAACCAATTTTTTTGATGGGGGAGGTTCTTTTAGTAAGCTTGTTTGGCAGACCTATCCAGAAAAGAGGTCTTTAAAATGAGGGGAATATGGGGAAAATGCTGTGGTTCATACCATAATCATAAAATAATCTACTACAGTTAACGCCTATAGCTGGGAAATCTCAGGGATGACTTTTAAGAAAGGAAAATTTTGACCCAGGACCAATTCTCACAGCTTCCTCGTCACATGGACCACTTGCGTTTCCAGAAACTTCATCAATGGGGAGAAGGAAGAGACTCCTTCCCCTTGGCATTTTCTCACAACTATTTTAATTCAGGTGTGGTGTTTGTTTTTTCTTCATCAGTATGGTCAAACACACTGCAATAACTAGTACACTGAAATTTATATGTACTTAAAAAGTATAAACATATTATTAGAGTTTCAAATAAACTATGATATTCTGGTACATAAATACACATTTTCTTCCCATCAAACATCTTAACAGGTATTATACAACTGGTAAGAAATACCAAACGAGGGCGCGGCGCAGTGGCCTACCAGCTAAAGTCCTCGCCTTGAACGCCCAGGATCCCATATGGGCACTGGTTCTAATCCCGGCAGCTCCACTTCCCATCCAGCTCCCTGCTTGTGGCCTGGGAAAGCAGTCAAGGACGGCCCAAAGCTTTGGGATCCTGCACCCATGTGGGATACTGGGAAGAAGTTCCTGGATTCTGGCTTCGGATCGGCATAGCATTGGCCATTGCGCTCACTTGGGGAGTGAATCATTGGATGGAAGATCTTCCTCTGTCTCTCCTCCTCTCTGTATATCTGACTTTCCAATAAATAAATCTTTAAAAAAAAAAGAGAGAGAAATGCCAAACGCCCCATACACAACAGAAGCAGCAACTACGAAGCAGTTGCTGCTCTACTTTTTATACTTTAACTCTGACTCCGCACATCATAGTTTTAGGTGGGCATTGTGTTTTCATAAAATACAAAGTAGACACTTCCAATAACCATTTTGGTGGGCAAATGTTAAGTGTTTATAAGCATCAAGTGGTCATTAACAGCTCTTGTGGGGTGGGGAGAGAGAAGACATTAATCAAGGCTAAGAAATGAGTGAACCTACTTTGTTCTACTATGTCATCCTGAAGAACTGCTGTTTCAGAGTTAGTTTTCCCCCTGTCTCATTATCACAGCCAAAGACAATGAATAGTTGATCTTACTTTGTCCTGGCAAACAGAAAAGATATATAGCAAAGTTTCTGAATGGTTCTAATAAAAAAATTTGTGCCAATGTTACTGACCTATAATGAAGGAAATGATAATCTCTAAATTAGATATGGCATTTCAGTCTTGCCTTCAACACTGAGTTTGGATTAAATCACATTTCACTGTCACACTTTATTTTTCACAGATCTTTCACACTTATTCACAGACTATTTAAGAAACACAGGACTAAAAGACAAATAGGCACTATACACAATACAGTCAAGTTTAAACTTAGCAAAGTGGTAATTATATTGTTTGCACACAGTAAAAAATAATGGGGAGAAATCTACTTTTACACACATGTTTTTACACCTTTGAAAATTCAACACGGTTAGGGTCAAATCAATCCTTTCTCTGCAATTGGGTAAACCATTATTTGACATGTGGACCCCAACACATTTAGTAGGAAAAATACATTAACAGAGCATTAAGTAGGTTTCCAAAATGAGCTGGGAGCCCTAATAACACAAATATCAATAACTATTCATGGCTGGTTCAAAAGATGGCTTGGAAGAACCCCCAGGAGGAGGCAGAAAAATCAGAAATAAAAGTTAATGAGTAAGCAATGTTTATCTGTGGAAATCTAGGACACGGTGGGGACTTAACATTAAGGCCAAAAAATAGGCTCATTACTGTACCATGTCACACGGGGCAATCCTGAAATGAAACTTCAGGTGAGAAAGAAACACCTTAGTCTTTTCAACAAATGAGTCTTTTTTTCCTATCCCAATAAGTATATACATTTCATATAGTAATTCTCTTTATTAAGAAATTCTGTAATTCTGAGGAATCACATGAAAAGTTTTCAATCACATACATGCAGCTGAACTACTTACATAAAATTCAAATTTTCTCTCATGAACTAACACAGTCAAGAAACACATGAGTGAAAAGGGCACATATGCATTCAAAATGACTTGGGGGAGGGCCCTCCAATAATTAAAACTCACTTTTAGCACTTAGGTTTTCAAAATTGAGTTTCAGGAGCCCAGCACCGTGGCCTAGCAGCTAAGTCCTTGCCTTGAACGTGCTGAGATCCCACACAGGCGCCGGTTCTAGTCTCGGCAGCTCCACTTCCCATCCAGCTCCCTGCTTCTGGCCTGGGAAAGCAGTTGAGGGCGGCCCAATGCTTTCAGACCCTGCACCCGTGAGGGAGACCTGGAGGAAGTTCCTGGCTTCTGGCTCCAGATCAGCACAGCACCAGCCATTAGCACTGGCCGTTGTGATCACTTGGGGCGTGAATCATCAGACAGATGATCTTGCTCTCTGACTTTGTAATAAAAATAAATATATCTTTTTTTTTTAAAAAATTGAGTTTCAGAAATAAGGGAGTCTAAAAAAAACTGTGCACAAGGTAATCCCCTCTCTATATCATATATATAGCTAATATATGTATCCCCTTGTGTGAGAACAGGGATATGTACAAACATCTGATTATAATTTGATCATAATTATAATTTGTAAGTCACACATCTAGTTCATCCATGCAAATAATACATGTGCACACAAGTACATATAAGAGTAAAGAAAAAAACTCTGTAAACCTATATTCAGTATAACCCACTGAGCAAAGGAGGCCGTCAGCAAGAAATCAACCCATCAAAGCAGGCTATAGGTCACAGATGCCTCACAACACACACCTAAAACCAATTCAGGTTAAGCAAATGCTCCCTCCGAGTAAGTTACATTCCTCAAACCATATTTAGATGAATTTTAATTTTCCCTCATATTCTAAATGCAGCTTGCTCCCAAACAAAATAGTTAAAAAATGAATAAAACCTCCTCTCATTTGTACTGAGTATAGTGGAAAAAATAGCTGTAAGATCCTAACTCTAATTAAATCTCACTAACAAGCCAACTCAAAAGCTGACCCATCACCTACATGAACCACAACAAATACCACAACATAAAAACAATAGCTTGCTGTATATCCCAAATGCCACAAACCAGACTATGGCCTAAGGAAACAAAAGTTATGGAAATGTGCAAGAAAGTATGTACCACAGCTTGAAAAAGTAATGTAAACATAATGTTGCTTACCACAGAAAATACATCGCAAATTAGTGCTGTCCTGGGTAGCAGTAACCTTGCTCTGGGCTGCAACAGACACCTTGGTGTTAGAAGCTTCAAAGGACAATGGGGCCATCTGAAGAACTTCACACAAACTAAAAGGTGCTTTGAAATGTTCAAAATGTGTTTATACATACGTCCTACCTAGATCCTCATCCTGGAAGCTCTGCAATTTAATAAAAACGTATCTTCTTAAACATTAGTTCTTAAAATTTTGTGAATGCAATCATGGAAAAACCCTATAAAAAGCCACAGAATGATGTACTTCTATTTTTAATAATTTCTGTAGTTAAACAATCAAAGACTACAATCTGCATCTTAGGGTTACACATTTTAAAAGTTAATGTAGACGAAGATTGAGAAATTAAGTTCTATGGCCATTAAGGTCAATTTCATGAAATCTACCTTCTGCAGGAGAACCGTATCTGAAAAACAGTTTGTAGGATATGCATAAGATTAACTCACTTCTATTTGGGACAAGCCCATAGATACTGTAAATAGCCCCCTGCAATTCGAGGGGTTTTATATTTATTGAATAAAGTATTATTATATCTGTCTTGCACTTTGAAAAAAAAAGATATTATATATTAGCAAGTCACATTTTATTAGTTCTACTTTTCCTTAATACATATACAAACTTGACAAAACATCTTACTAAAAACAAGTGATCACAAATAGCTATTTATTTAGGCTACATAAAATTTAGCTTGTTATCAATGAAGCAAATTCTTTACATTCAAAAAAGCTCAATGAGAAGATAATTTATGAAAAGGGGATATACTAATCTAAAACCAAAGTGACAATCAAAATTGAGATGGCAAAAAATATATAAAATATACTTTGTTTACTACCAATTATATATAAAAAAACTTTACATCAATAACTTTCTGTAAAATCCTCAAGAAATTCTTTTCAGCACCAGAAAAAAAAAATTTTCCCATCTATATTAACCAAGAAACAGTTAATGGGTTAAAAATATTCTGGCTTAAGAAAAATCACATAAAGGCAAACAAGACAATTTCTTAGCTTTTCCCCTGAAACTGTATTTAAAATAGTACCACTCATACTAACTAAAAAATTTCAGTGGAATCAGAACCCAACCAATTTATATTGAAATACACGTGAAGTAAGTCTTAAGTAATCAAAATAATTTTATTAGAAATATTTAACTTAATGATATTAAGTCTTGCTTTAAAAATAATACATAGAGCAGATATCTCCAAACACAAATAAGTCTAATAAATGTCAATCTTTGCCAAGTAATTCCAACCACCCCATCCATTTACTAAGTCGCATGCACAATGTTAACAACAACGAACATGAGAGCAATACCACAGGCATACATACGAAATGTCTCCCAAGCTGAGACCATTCCAAAATAAACAATCAGAAAAACCTCCATGCTTATAACTTAAATTGCTTTTTAAAAATCTATCTTCTCAATGTTTGTAAGTGCCTAATTTCATAAACATTTACTAAACAGACACATGGCTAGACTTCAGGTTTTACCTTTCAGTTTCTTAAATTCATGTTTCAAGAGGAAAAAAAAAAAAGGACAATTTAAAAAACTTACAAGAAAAACCTGAGAAATCATCTCGTCTCTGACAGCAAAGAAACTGCCACATCCCATTACCAATCCCGTTGGCAGAAAGTCACCTGACAATTGTCAGAATGCAGGTAAACCATCATTACTGCGCAAGACAAAACATTTTCAATTCAGAAATTCCAATCTTTCTCATAACTGTAACTATTAAGCAATGTTACAGCTTTGGTATCTCTAAGCATTTTCTTCCCACTGACTTTCACTTCATATTATCAAGTAAAATATTGATCTAAGTTCTGATAAGCGTGCTTGAATTCTACTGCAGTTTGCATTTCCCGAACATACTAAATTATTCATTCCCCCCCCCCCCCCCGCATGTACGAGGCACTTTCTGCTTAGCAGTGATATCAATTTAACTCTTTCCTCACACACGGAAGAAGGGGAGAAACTGAGAAAGAATGTTTATCCTCTAGGTTGGCTAAATTCAGTTGCCAGGTGTTTCAATTCCTCAGGACTAGTGCATGTGCTCCATGTACCTTACATTTTAGCCAGGAAAGGACATCCCTAAGTTACCAAATCAATACAGGGTGGTCCCCCAAAGAAAGCATCAACTAGAGAGGTTAAAACAAAGTAGTCTGTCCTGCCTGTTCAGTTATCGCTAACGTATGTGCGGAACGACCAACTGCCATCCTTTCAGCTTCCCCACCTTGAGCTATCTGTACAATCAGGTGTTTGCTACAAGTAGGGAAATACAAAAATCATAGGCAAGAGGTTAGTGGTGGAAAACAGCAATTACTACGATTTGATCAGCATTACTGCACTTTATTACTCTGTAATGACTACAGGAGACACTTAGCACTCTCATGCTTTTAACATTAGAGATTTGCACTATTAGCAGCTACTCCCAGTGCAATTTGAAAAGAGAATGCCACACATTTCAGTATTACCCTATCCCAGGACTAAATGAGAAAATGAGTTGGTTTATATATGGGTTTGACTTTTACACGCTCTGTAAACTGGTCTGATTCGTGACTGAGTACAAGGATCCAGATTAGTGGTGTCCACATTGTGACCTTCCTGAAGGCTTTCTGGTACTTCCACCTTACTTGAAAACCTCTGCTCTAAACATTTTTGACAGAGCAAAAGTAAATGTATTTGTGTTTGGAAGTATCCAGATTAGAAGGCAATGCTACAGTGATACAGTATGAATTGTAGAGAAAAAAGAAACAGCAAGTACCAACCATATCGCTGGGCACTTCACTGGAAGACATTTAGAATCAAAAGCAGTAAACTGGATTCCAAAGGCATTATAAAAAAAAAATTAAAGTCAAGATTAACCTTTGTAAATCATTCACAATATATACTTTAGATAAACTTTTTAAGATCCTTTGTACAATCTAGTTTTCATCTTCTTTTATTCCTTATAAATTCTCCCTCCAACTTACATGCAAATGTAAGAATTGCCAACAGCTGACAAACTGTGGATACTTCATCCACACTAGGCTTCACAGACAAGTCTTAACACGTTTCTCAGTCCATCATCTGTTTGTTTTTTTTAAAAGATTTATCAGATTTCAAAGATATGGAGGAATTGGGGGTATAAAAGTGGGATGAGTGATGCCGTAAGGGTACAGGTTTTCTTTCTGATGCGATGAAAATGTTCTAAAACTGTGGTGATGCTTTCAAACCCCTGTGAACAGATATATATTAAAACTGTTAAATTGTGTACCATAACAGTGTCAGGCTGTGCATATGTTCTTCCTCCCAAAATTGTTTATAAAGTTGAAAATATCTCATTTTTACTATCTCTGAGTGGTGAGATTGTATGTTTTATGGTTTTCCAGGCTGCCTGAATTTTTACAAGCAGCACTCAGCTCTTTAATCAGAAAAAAGCCATACTTGAAACTAAGTGTTTAATTATAAGAGTGGTTCTTGCTGCATAGCACTCTTAACTGGCTCTAGTTTCTGACAAGTGGAGTGGATGTAAACAAAGAATTAAGGGGACTTCAATGTGACCTCAAATGCTGGGGAGAACTGCAAGCCAGGGATCTGAATATCAGAATCAGGCGGAAGGCCAAGAGCAGTTCCTTAGCATCAGGTTCTTTTACAGCAGGCACGAGGCCCAAAGGCGTTTCTGAGGTTGTGATACTGAAGTCAAGATGCTTCAGAAACACCAGAACTGTCCTATTTAAACCAGGACTGTGCCTCCTTTTCCAGGGGAATACCACTGCCCTTGTCCTTCATTCCTCTCTGTCCATTAATACAGGAATCTCAAAAAGTGGCTTACTAAGAAGCGCTATCTATCTAAAACAATGTAAGACAGTATAAGCAAAAATGAAAAGGATGTCTAAACTTTGTGAAACTCAAAACCATGTGAAATTTTATTAAAGGAACAGTTTTGTTAGGTACATTAAAAATAAACAATGTTCAGCCAGGTGCGATAACCTAGTGGCTAAATCCTTACCTTGCACAAACCAGGATCACACATACGTGCCGATTCATGTCCCAGCTGCTATACTTTTCATCCAGCTCCCTGTTTATTGGCCTGACAATGCAGTCGAGAATGGCCCCAAGCCTTGGGACACTGCGCCCAGGTGGGAGCTCTGGAAGAAGCTCCTCGTTCCTGACTTCAGATCAACCTAGTTCTGGCCATTGCAGCCACTTGGGGAGTGAATCAGTGGATGGGGGATCTTTTGCTCTGTCTCTCCTCCTCTCTTTATAACTGCAAGAAATGAACCTTAACAGAAATAAATAAAGGATTCAGCACATCATGGTTTGTTTTTCACAGAATCTGTTAGAAAGGAACCATAAAAGGGAGAGAGGAAAAGACAGAAGCAGAGATCCTTCCATTCATTGGTTGATGACTCAGATGCCCAAAACAGTCAGGGCTGGGAAAGGCCAAAGTCAGGACCATGGAACTCCATCCAGACCTCCCACGTGGGTGGCAGAAACCCAAGTCTTTGGGCCATCACTAACTGTCTAGATTATTTTACATTTCCTGTTTGAATCAGACATCTGGCTTACCAGACTTGCAGCTGTTCAAGGGTAGTGTCCATACTTTATTCATTCTCCTATTACAAGTAGCTAGCACAGTGGTTGGCACATAGTAGGTCACCGTAAATCTCTCTAAAAAAAGCCATTTTACAGAACTGACACAGTCTGGGCCTGGCTCGTGTCCTACCTGCCCCACTTTCCATCCAGCTCTCTGCTTGTGGTCTTGGAAGGCAGTAGAGGAAGGTCTAAAGTCTTGGGACCTGCTCCCGCATGAGAGACCCAGAACAAGCTTCTGGCTCTGGATTGGTTTAGCTCTGGCTGTTGTGACCACCTGAGGAATGAACTGGCAGATGGAAGATCTTTCTCTCTGTCTCTCTTCTCTGTAAATCTGAGTTTCCAATCAAAAATACGTAAATCTTTTATAAAAATTGAATTAAAACAACTTTTTGCAGGAGACCAGGACTGAGGTCCTGGTTCCGGGTTTCACCAG